AGGAAGAACTTATCTTGTATGTGTTCTATCGTGATACCCAGGAACTGATTCGCGGTGCCAAGATCCTTCATTGTAAACTTGGACTTCATTTGATCGATCAAGCTGTTTATCTTGAGATCGTCATTCCCGGTAATAAGGATATCGTCCACGTAGACAAGTAAATAGATTTGGAGATCATCTTTATGAAGCAGCAGCAAAGATGGATCCGCCGGGCTATACGTGAAACCGATTTGCAGAAGAAATTTGGTGAATGTGGTGTACCATTGACGGGGAGCTTGACGCAAGCCGTAGATTGCCTTGCGAAGACGACACACATGGTTTGGATTAATGGAGTCTTCAAAACCGCGGGGCTGTTTCATGTAAACAAGCTCATTGATTTCGCCGTGCAAGAAAGCGTTTGCCACATCTAGCTGACGGATTTTCCATTGATGAAAGAGTGCAATAGTAAACATGATTCGGATCGTAGGTAGCTTTGCTACTGGACTGAAAGTATCCCGAAAATCAATACCAAAAGCTTGTTGGTTTCCCTGAGCAACTAAGCGAGCTTTGTGTCGGGCGATAGAACCATCCGAATTGAACTTGGTTCTATATGTCCATTTGGAGCCAATTATGGAGGCGTTGGGTGGAGGTGCTACAAGATCCCAAGTGCCTTGTTTTTGAAGGGCAAGGAATTCCTCTGCCATTGCCGTACGCCACTCAACGTGTTTGTTGGCATCCAAAAACGTGGTAGGATCCTTTTTATGGTTTCCATCATGCAACAGATTAAGACGTTGAACCGGTCTGAGAGACCCTGTTTTTGTCCTGGTAGTCATGTGATGCCCGGGAAGTGAAGCAGACCTCGTTTGAATCTCTGTTGACAGACGAGTGGTATCGTCCAGGTTACTGTCATGACTCCTTATGCTTGGTCGTGGGCAGTCATTGGATAGAGGAATAGACTTGTCTAGTTGTATCTTGCCATCGGTAGAGTGCAAAACAGACGACGGAATGAGAAGAGGATGAGGCACCGTAGTAGATGCTGGAAGTTCTTGGACTGACCTGTTATGGAAAGGAAATGCTTGCTCGTTAAACTTAACATGTCTAGATGTAATAATTTTATTGGTTATCGGATTTAGACATCTATATCCTTTCATAGTGTCAGAATAACCAATAAAAATACATGATGAAGAAGACGGTGACAGTTTTGTTCGTTGAGTAGGTGGTAAGAGCGGGAAACATTCGCATCCGAAAATTTTTAAGTGAGCATAGGACGGTTTAATATTAAACATGCGTTGCAAAGGAGAAAGGTAATTTGTTGTAGCCGACGGAGCCCTGTTAATCAAGTAGGTAGCTGTAGAGGCAGCCTCCAGCCAAAACGACATAGGTAGACCTGCAGTTTGTAACAGTGTTCGTGTGGTCTCGATGATATGCCGATGTTTTCGTTCGGCAAGGCCATTCTGTTCCGGCGTGTATGGGCACGAGGTTTGGTGGAGGATACCAGCAGCTTTAGTGATCGATTGGAAGTGGTGATTTACAAACTCACCACCACCATCGGTCCGAATTACTTTGAGTTTGCGATTTGTTTGCCTTTCTATAAATTTAACAAAATTGTGAAAGATATTAGGAACATCAGATTTAAGCATAAGCGGAAATAACCAAACAAAACGCGAAAAATCGTCTACAAAAATTACATAGTAACGAAACCCTTGATGTGAGGGAACCGGAGAGGGTCCCCACACATCCGAGTGAACAAGTTCAAGAGGGGCATTGGTAGTGCTGTTAGAGCGATCAAAGGATAGTTTGTGTCCTTTACAAGACAAACAAGAATTACAAGAAAAACTAGTAGAAGAAATGTGTAAATCCGGATTGCTTTTAGAAACCCAGTGAAGAACGCGGGTATGAGGATGACCGAGCCGACAATGCCAATCTTTCTTTGAAGAACACGTAGCAGGCAATGCCGTGGAAGCATGAGTGATTGGATGCGGTCTGGCCGGAATTTTGTACAAGCCATTGTTACATGGTCCGGTGAGAATAACCTGATTGGTCGTCCGATCCTTAAAAACAAAGCCAGTGTCATCAAATGTAATAGAGATCGGGTTATCTTTAACAAGATTGGATATGGAAAGTAAATTATAAGACAAAGAAGGAATATGCAGCAAACGAGAAAGAACGAGCTTACTAGCCGGGGTTGGAAGAATCCCAGCACCCGTGTGAGCTATCGGGATGGATCTTCCGTCCCCTATGGTTACCGTGTCATTGCCATTGTAGGTGTTGTATGGAGCTAGGTTCTCCAAATTGTTGGTCATATGAGACGACGCGCCGGAGTCGATGTACCAATCAACACCCGTATGACCTTCTGATTTTGCCACTAAAGCATTTGAATTCTTGGAAGATCCTTGAGAGGGAACATAGTTGGCGTTGAGTCTATGCCAACACGCATCAGCCTCGTGACCTTTCTTTTTACAAATTTGACAAATTACCGCTGGTTGATTAGAAGTTGTATGAGCGGTATTGCTGTCCTGATATTGTCTGGTTCGACCTCGACGTCCTCTGCCGCGAACCGTATAGAGGGCCGACTGAGCGTCTGGGACTTGAGAAAATTTGATTGCTGAGGATTTTAAATGGATCTCTTCGCTGATGAGAAGAGCGTAGAGATTGTCGAGAGTCATTGTGCCCTGCATAGTACGAATCGTTGTCGTGAAAGATTGATAGGCCGGTGGAAGGCCATTGAGAATGTAAATCATAATATCCTCCGAGTCAATTGAGGATCCCGCTGAGGCGATTTGATCCACTATTTTCTTGACTTCGGTGAGGTAATCCGTCATAGACATGGATTGCATAGAAATATTATGTAGCGCATTCTTGAGCTGGATGACTTTAGAGCGATTCGACGATTGGAACCTTGTGTGGAGCGTCGACCAGATCTCGTGAGTTGATTCAAGATGAATCACGTAGGGTAGAACCGCCGGAGAAATGGTGGAACACATAGCCGTTGCAAGATTCTGATCAACGACAGTCCACTGCAGCGGATCTTGATTGGGATCCCGATTTTCAGTGGCCGATCGAGCTTCAAGAAAAACCGCAAATCCATTGGCTTTGAAGAGCTTAGCGATTTGCGAACTCCAGATAGGAAAGTTGTCCGCCGTGAGAGAGTGCGGTACAAGAAACTTAAGGTTGGAAATGACAAACTTTAGAGATTGAGAGATGGCCGGTGCGGACGGCTGTACGCCGGTGGTTGCCGCCGTCGACGAGGAAGCGGAAGCAGATGTCGCCATGGCGAAGGCTCAGAATCTTGCTTCTCTTGATACCATGAAGAACAGCAAGAACCGAGAGGAACAGGGAAAGTAGAGCAGTAAACTTTATTAATGATTATTATTCTACATAATACAGGTCCAGACATATAAATAGAAGAGGAGTACACTTGTAAGAGATTAATTGGTCATAGGTATATTTACATATATATCCTTAACAGATAGTCAAAGCATCACAGACGGAAGATCAAACAACGGTGGTTAGGAGACTGTAGTTGGATAATAAAGATCAGAAGATTGCAGTCGGGCAATGGCGGTCAGAGGATCACAATCAGTCAACTATTGATTGGTGACATGGTCCGAGGGCTACAGTCAACCGATGGTGATCGGAGGATCTTAGTCAGAAAATGTTGGTCGAAGGATCTTATTGGAGGATCATATTTGGACGACATTGATCAGAAAATCATAATTGGGCAGTAAGGTGACAGTGGATCCAAGAAAAAAGAAAGTTAAAAGGGTTCTCTTACTACTTTACAAAACTAAGTTATGCTCTTCCACAAGTTTCCCACTATAAACTCAGTTGATTTGAGTTTAAGATCAAAACTTTAAGAGATACATTTTTCACTTTATGTACCTGCTTGAGATCTCCGCTTGTTTAAGAGCGAATCGTATCTCAGATTTATTTACTTATTTTAACTTCATACATCCTTTGTTCATGGAAAGTTGTACTAAAGAACTATCTTACGTGTTTTCAAACGCACAAATAATGGCAAGTGGGGTAATTATTCTCTTAATAAAGGCTTGCTTAACGATTATAGCTATTTATTTGTTTTAGAGGCTCAGTTTTCTCCATTTAAGTTTTTCTTTGTTAGTGTAGGAGTGCTGGACACTCAGAATTCACTAATTGATTTGTGGCATAAATCCTTCTCGTACCACTTTAATTGCAGCACTCTATCTGATGAACTTAATTAAATATCCAACCGTATCAATTTGCGAATTATAAATAGCTAGTCAAGTACTTCAAATTTCTCATATTGGAGAGTAAAACTTAAGGTAATAAAATCAATAAAGAAAAAGAAGAAAACTTCTCATGCTTCCAAGTTGGTTACGGGTGCTAGTGATAAGAGCTGGCTCGAGCTCAACTTGTTAACGAGTTCACGAGCCGAGTTTATCGAGTTTTGGGCTCGACTCATTAACGAGTTTGAGTTTGTTGCAGTTAATGTTCAACTCAATTACTCGCGAGCCAGCTTGATTACACGGGATGCAGTACACAGGTGGGAAATGAAAGCATGCGGATGTGGTACGAAATCACGCTCGGATGCGGATCGGGCTGAGACACAATACATGGGTGGTGGGCTTGGACATGGGACAGGACCTCAGACGTGGATCGCAAGCCGGAGGCGGACACGACACGCGAGTGTAAACTCGAATGCGATATGTGGACATAACCTTAGACGAGGATGCAGGCGAAAGCGGACGCAAATCGGCCTCTCGACAAGCATTTTCAGCGGAAGTAGCTGAGCTCGAGCTCGTCTATTGAGTTCAACTCAAGTTCGAGCTCGGGATCTAGCTCACGAGTCCAGCTCGAATTTGATCTGACTTGAGCTTGACTCGACTCGTTTTCACCCTTAAAGTAGGTTGACCGAGGTCAGCTCTTGAATCAACAGTCTAATTAATTTCTAAAGGGGACGGAGACGGACGACACATCATGACTCTTCCAATTATCTCCATTGCCGCAGCCCTCACATGCTAACAACCATCTCTACAATCGAACCCTCTCTTGGGCCCATACCTTGGGGTTCCTTACAGTGCACTTACACGTTCGCATATGATTATAAACATTGTTCTGTTACTAATTTTTATTTGCAGGGGATACTATAGACATAAGGATAATTACAGACTATAACCTACTTCCAATTCTTCCGGCCCCAACGGCTCAATGCCGGTTCGGTCCACCTCTTCCGGTTTGACACAACCAGAGCTCTTCGGGATCCTGACAAAGGGACATTGGCGGCAGCGCGGGCAGGTGGGCCGGGTTAAAAGCCACTGGTCGATGCAAGGCACGTGAAAGCCGTGGCGACAGAGAGGAAGAAGTCGGATCCGGTCGCCCGGTTCAATCTCGGCGAGACAAATGGCGCACTCCGAATCGGAGCCGGCCAGCTTAAGACCGGCTGAAAAGAACTCGACCGGGACCTTGCGGATGGCTCGTCGGCGAGCGGCGGCGCCGGGGAGGACGACAGGGAAAGACTGACTAGAGCGGCCGGAGAGGCGGAAAATACAGCTGACGATGGCATTGAGGCCGAGAGCGCAGATGAGGGCTATGAGAAGGATGGCAAGGATCATGATGACGTTAGTGTCGAAGGTAGTGGAGGAGGGGGAGGATTCGCCGGCGGCGGACTTGGGGTTGGTGATTGTATAGTGGAGCAGGAGGCGGCGGGAGGAGAGGGCCATGGGTTATTGACTTATTGAGTTTGTGATTGCCAGTGTGGAAGGAGAAGGTGTATTTATCGAGGGAAATATTTCCGCGGTGGTTGGTAGAACGATATCAGCATTTTTTTTCTTTTAATATTTAATGAATCTGTAAAATAAAATTTATTCAAATTAATACAAAATTTCCTTTATTTGTAACATATGAAAGACCATTCTCACCTATCAAACTTTTTGTCAAAAGAACTTCAGATATTTAGATGTTATTTTATATTCTGTCATATAGTAAGTCACATAAAAAATTGTGATTATAAGATGTCAAAAAAAAATTTTAGAATAGGTTGTTAGGAGTCTGAAATATCTTTAAAGCTCATTTTAAATTATATAATTATTAATATTAAATTTAATGATACATTATATATATATATATATATATATCCCCCTCCTAAAAGTTTTAAAAACAATAAGATCTTTAGGCAATTGTTCCCAGCATAATTAAACACATTATATATAGGTGTAATTGTTAGGAAATGATGAACCAAATGCAAAGAGAAATAGTAAAGATAATTGTTAATTTGAATTCCAAAAATATCCTTACAACTAAAATTTGTCCCCCGCCATGAGGCATTGCCCCCTTGGACTCTCGACATATATGCAAGGCGTACAACGATCAAGGGTATAAACAAATATGGATAGAGCCAAATTCAAGGCAACTTCAACATACATTTTAATAGAAATTGAATGATTAATCATCTTTAGCCACTTTTTTCTTGTATTTATTGTTTGATCGCTATTGTCCTATTTTTTGTAGCGAAAGGTCGAGCCAAATTCAAGGCAACACCAACAATTACTTATAAGTTTGCCCCCTTAAAAATTAAGGCTGGGTCCGCCCCTGTCATCCGGTTCGACTTTCTCCTTCCAATTTGTTGTCAAGTCCAATTTTTATAACCTTGCTCAATACTTATTCTAATAGTGATTAATAACTCCAAACACTTACCACAATGTCATAGCTTTTTTTATCACTAAAACAAATAAACACAATTGCACAATAGATAATGCAACCATTGTATTAATATAATAAACATGATAATATGGTATTACAACATGAACTCTAGAGTTTTTTTTTTCGTCAAATATAATTAAATGAACACTTGATATCTAATACCATAATAAATTGGATATAATATTTCAATATTGTTTGATTTATTTTCAAATAAGCCAAATTTATTAAAATTTTTCAGTTACATTTCACTAAGACAACTATTAAGAAATGGCCTAATTAAGAAAAAAAAAAAAAAGAATAACATCACAACTATAGAAATCAACCTTAAACTTAAGTCTAAGATAAAAAAAAATCAAGAAATCTCTAAGATCAAATCACTAAAAAGAATTAAGGAATTTATAGAATACTACATATTCCGACTTACAATAAGCATCATATAGCCAATCTCATTAGCGAGTGAGAGTTGATAAAGCATGTCATATGTGAGGGATCATGCGTAAGAAGTATTATTTTCTAAGAGAGCATGACTTCAATACTTAATGTGTTGATGCAGCTTTTTATACATCAGAGGTATCAAATTGAGCTCAAATTACACATAGTCATATGATTAGGCTAGCTTAATCAATAATTAAGGTGAGTTGATGACAAATTACGAGAAATGATCTTATGCACTAAATTATATTAGATATATTTGACTATTTAAGCAAGCTGCTCAAGTGATGTAAATTAGCTTGAACTATTTAGGCTAAACTCACTAGGTTCCTTGGTTCATATTAGGATTAGATCGATATTGGATTCAATTGTGCTATAACTAACTAAATTGAGAGATTGAGGTTTTGTTTGAAACAATTTTATTACTGTTTTCTAAAGCAGCTTTTTAGTAATTTTTTTTTTAGTTTAAGAAATTTTTGTATTAAAAAGCTTATTTAGAAAGCAGTAAAAAAGTCGTCCTAAACGAAGCCTAAGTTCAATTGGGCAGGTATGTTAAGACTGAGCTCATATGATATGAAGTTGATTGCAATAGTTTCTAATTGGAATATGTGGATATTCTGAATTAATTTATGTAAATCCTCATCTAATTACTTCATTCCAAATAGAACCAAAGCTCCAAAGAATGAAACGTCTAAGTTCTTAATCCATTCCTCTTATACCATAAATATTTAAACACTAAAATCCCCAGCACTTAGCTTTAGACCCCCAACGATATATTAAACTATAATTATTTCAACAACACTAAACTACCATAATGTCTGTTTCAAAAAAAAAAAAAAAAAACCCCTAATTACACCTCCAAAATCTCTTAAATCCTATCAATGTTCATAGGATTTTGCAAATCCAAAAATGAAATTTACATTCATACGGTAAAATTCTTATATATTTATGCATCTAACTCCAAAATTTCTATATTAATTACTTATATATTATCATAACATCTAAATTACATTAAAATATAGGCGTGAAGATGTGTTTTATTTTAAATAAGTTAATTTTAATGATATTTATGATGTAATATTTGAGTGTTGTATATATAATTTAGGCATTACAAAGAAAAAAAATTAGGGCTTGATCGTAATAAATTAAAACTTTGTGAAAATCTTAGCAATGATGGCAGCCTCTTGAAATCCAAACAAAGTGGTGACTTTGGTTTAGGTTTCGTTTGGTACAGCTTTCGTACTGCTTTCTAAAACAGTTTTTTAGTATAAAATTTTCTAATTCAAGAAAGTTTTGTACGAAAATGTTATAAAAAGCTATCACAAATGAAACCTTAGTTCATGACAACTTTCTTACTATTTTTTAAAATAATTTTATTGTCAAAATAATTTTGTACTAAATGGCTCCTTTAAAAAAGCAATAAGAAAGCTGTTCCAAACAAATTTTTTTTGTAAAAAATCCTATTCTCATAAGAAAAAATTAAAATAAATATATATAAATCTAAATGATCACATCATACAGTTCTGAATTTCTATACAATCTCAAGTTTATTATACTATACTCATCAAAACAAATCTAACTCCCATAATCCAACAACAATAACAATAACAACAACAACATCAAGCCTTTGTTCCACTACGTGGGCGACATAATTTTTTTTTTTCGCCATTGTGTTATGTTAAAAGTCAAATTCTCATTTAAATCTAATAAAGAAAGATCATTTTTAATATTTTCTAACCAAGTCTTTTTAGATATGCCTCTACTTTTCTTAACATAAATTAAATCTAATACCTCAACTTTCTTTACCGGGTCATCAGAAGGCCTCTATTTAATGTGACCAAACCATCTAAGGCAACTCTCTCTAATCTTGTTTTCCACTTGTGCTACTTCAGCCTTTTCTTGTATATGCTCATTTCGTATCCTATCTCTAAGGGTAAAGTCACTCATCGATCCACCTAAGCATCCTCATCTCTGCAAGAAAAATAAAAATAATAAAGCAATTTACTAATGAACAGAGACGAGATCAGCAACAACTAAATAAAAAATAGAATTGAACATAAAGAGCTAGCTAGCGAGAACCTGTAACCTTTACCCATACAGCATAAATGCAGGCTGGCTGAATATTATGATATATTTGTAGTTCGTTTTCTGGTTTCTCATTTGGCCCGGCCATCATATATAGCTTGGTTCCTCCATTGACATTCCTGCTGCATCAGCTTATTTAAATTTTCTTCTTGTTTCTGCGCCAGCTTCTATCTTCAGTCCTTAATTCTTTCTTTAATAACGTTAATGTTTAAAATAGCTTAAATTTTCTTCTCAAGTTATTCTTATCTTTTATAACTTAATTGCAATCCATTTCTTTTCATTTTAGAATTTGTTTGGGGCTGCTACGGCTTTGTATAAAGTTGGTTGTAAAAAAGTTGTGAGAAAATTAATTATTTTGAAAGTTGTTGCAAGTATTGACAACAACTTTCTTATAATTTGCATATATTGGTAGATCTACGTTTCGTTTGGAACAGCTTTTGGGCACTGTTCCTGTTTGTTTTCATAAAATTTTTGTTCTAGAATGCTACTTTAGAAAGCAATGAGAAAGCCGTCCCAAATGATGCCCTAGTTGCAAAAAAATTGTTGGGGATGTAGAAGTAAATCATGCAATGAAACAAATAAGAAAGTAAAAGCAACAAAAATAAAAGGGTACTAAGGTTTAATGTGGAAAAAACTAAAAATCCGGAAAAATTTGCGGAGCCACATTTCACCAAGAAATTCACTATAAAAATTAGGATAAATAAATACAGATCTCTCTTAGTTCTTACCCTCTTCTTGCTTCTCTTCTTTCTTAGATCGTTCTCACACTCAAAACAAAAGAGAAATGTCAAGTATATAGCACCAAGGGATGCTACCTTGGAGAAAAATGAGAAAGAAAATTGTTCAATTTGCTTTGAAGTACTGTGACTTAATTTGGAAAGCTGTAGCGCTCAAACCTTTGATCCTGATTTATTTGATGATGTTGTGGTGATCAAACCCATAGTGTTGTGGCACTATACAGCGCTGCGCTATGCTCTTTATCATTTCTCCCAGCAAACTCTGTAACGTTGGGGCACTCGGGTGCACAACACCATAAAGGTAACAGTACTACAGTCTGATTGATCGACACAAATAAATATCACACAGACTAACAAAAATATCTTCCCACCATAGAAGTTTATGAAAAGCACCGAGTAAACAAAATTGTGATTTTGATCTCAAAATCAAAACAATCATAAAGCTGTGTCTCTAATAGGCCATAATCTTGCAAATGTGCATTCATTATTTGGATGCCAATAAAGATAATGTGGTTTTTTTTTTTTTTTTTTTTTAAAATTTTTTTTTTTTTTTTTTTTTTTTTCAATTGACTTTTTTTTTTCATTTTTTTATTTTTATTTTGCATTTGTCGTACACTTACGGTATCAATCATGATGAGTTGTTAAACTGTAGAGGGGTTTTGTTCAAAATAGTTGCACCATTTTATAGTTGAGGGGAAAACAACTTAAGTTTTGTTTGAGACAATTTTCTTGTTATTTTCATTTTTTTTAGTATAATTTTTTTTTAT